GAATGAATTTTTTCGTATGCGTTTGGGTGACGCCCCGGTTTGTTTAGATTCACAAATCATCCGCCTTGGTCCAACCAGGGGATGTGCTCAAACGGGGATTTAGAGATTTACGGTGGAAATTTTTGTTTATAATTGCCATTGGTTTTAAAACTATTATATTTAATAATAATTATTGGTTGCCGTGAAATCAGTGTATTCATTCAATGCATTAAAAATTGTTTGTACGCTGTGTTTTGATATTATATGTATCGCAATTACGTAAATATTGAGCGTATTATACTCGCATATAAGTTAAGCACATAAAACAATGCGATGTCTTCGTGGGCGAGGAAGAAATATTGGTCGACAGACTCGGCATTCACAATTAGTTCAGCCGTTTAGGAGGAGTTCAGTGACATACTTGATATAACTTTGATACTTTAGAGTTAAATTATAAAGTTACGTATAAACAGCACGGGGTCCGCGATCTACCGCAGGTAGATTGAATACCTGATAATATACTGCTGCGAATCAGAATTTTTATTCCAGGCAACAGAAAAGTTAAGATAAATTTTGTACACCATACACCGAATATTAAATAACGAATTGAACAAAGTTTGAGTCATAAATATTTGGGACATTTAACGGGAAACGCGAAGTGCACGGAATCAGCTAGTGTTGATATAAATATTTGATGAAAATTGCAAATATCTATTTCGTCGATAACCGTTGTTGCTATGATTGTTTATATTTATACACACATTTTAAAATGAGTTTTTTTACGTAAATAAATAAATAAACAAATAAACAAACAAATAAATAAATTCATATATTTTCGTTTATTTAGAATTCGTAGGTATTCTAACTAATTTAAAAAAAAATTATAAACTACTGGAAATTATCTACTTTTTGCCCCTTCCTTACAGTACTAACTAGATCCAATAAGCTCATAAAAAACACCGTCAAAGTTGAAGATTGAAGTATTTAAGAATTTTCTACATTGAAATGTGATATTTATAAGAGTTCAACAGATATAAAAAAATACACATCATTTATTGTAAAACCAAAACATTCATCACTACCTTCAGAATCTAAGTTCTATAAAAAAAATCATTAGCTTTTGGCGTTTTCTTAACATAGAAAATGTATTAACTTTTAAACACATTATGCATACCTATATCATTAACAAGCTAAAGAATCTCAATTTATAAAACTGAACATAATTCCTAACATGTGCCTATTTATATAATTATATGAATACAAAAATATAAGTTGTTTTAAGGTTCTTGCATGGCACACAGTTATTAAATTTGTCTATATAATTGATTTCAGATATAATTTGATACTAAGATTTACACAAAAATCCTTTCCCTTATTTAAAAAAATATATATAGGTAGTTATTAACAGCAATTTCAACAAAATATAAATATATTTATTATTTACAGTTATTTAGTCGTGAGAAACGACATTTATATGTTAGACAAATTGCATAATTTACATACTAGTGGCGGGTATGGTCGTGAGCATGTAATAAGAATTCATACGTGTATAAACAAAATCTTCTGATTAAGCAATCAAGACGTTTTCAGTCAGAAAATATTATCTAATTAATTTCAGTAAATAAGCTACTTCTCACGATTTAATCAAAAATACAAACAATTACCAAAATGGCTAAATCTATGGTTTTATTCCTCTCCAATAATTAATAAGTTTCAATATTAATCAAGCCATCAAGGAGTTTCAAAACCAATTTTTCTACATCGACCGATATCACCGTTAATAGGCAAGCACCTAAATGAATTAGGGATTTAATCCCGGTCGTCCGGTTGCTCACCAAAACATTACGTATCTTATGTCAATTGAGCTAACTTTCGTAGTAATCAGATAAAACTTCTGAAACCGTATTTGAATTGCCCCGAAAATTAGGTACACAAATACGATTTTTTCACTTTTTAAATTTAACCCTTCAACATTTTATATTGATACAAATTAATTTAAAAATGTAAGAAAGTCGAGCTCCAGATAACTTCATGACTAATATAAATTCGGTTTTAGAAATTGTATTGAAAATAGGTTGTCAAATGTTGATACTTTTAGACTACAAAAAGCAGATTAAATAATAATATTCGTTTTGGGTAGTTGGACACATTGAACTCCCAATGCGGGAGTGCTCTGCTATTTATTTTACACTTCAGTCACACACACTGACACACTAATGAATAATAATAATAATTTACCAGTTACTACAACACATTCAAATTTCAAATTTTCACAAAATTGCCTATATTATACTTGAACTATTTAAAAATGGTAGGTTTCGAATACCCGAGGACGACTCACCAGACAAACGTACAACGTTCAGAAAAACCAGTTTTGTGTTATTAAATTTTAATATTTATTAACTTATAGGTACCTGATGGGTAACTGGGTAAGTATTTAGTATCTGTGTTTATGCGATGTTTTAATTTTTAAACGTGTAATGAGTAGGTACAGTATTAAATTAATACCAACACAGACAATATAATATTAAAGTTAACATCAAAAATTGGATCTACTGATCGCAAATCTACTGTTTAACGTTTGTAAGACGAAGAAAACACGCATGTGAGACGTTCAAATAAACGTTTTAATTTTATATGAATGGATTAATGCACCAACAATTTTACGGGTGGCCTCTGGGTAGTGGGTTTTCGCAATTGTGCTATTATTTTATTATTTAAAATATAAGCAATTACAAATGAAAAAACCATAAAATAATTCAAAAAATTATCTTTGGATTATGAAATTATAAATAAAAGTTGATAGTAGCTCACTTACATAAGAGTGAAAAAGGGGACGGAGTGGCCGAGCCGACCAAGGCGTCGGTTGCAATGCGCACCGTCGCCGGTTCGAACCTTGGTCACGGGCGGGCGGCACTTCTCTTCGGGCAGACATCTGTCTAGAGAGAGAGGCCGCCATCCTCCGACCGGACATGGCAGACACCTACGGGTGCACAAATCAAAAATTCTGCCAAAACAAACACACACGTGTGAACAAATCTACAGTACCAGCTCCCTCCCCACAGTACTACAGGCTAATGACCTCAATAGTTGAAGTCTGAATCCTAATAAAAAAAAAAGAGTGAAATGGGGAATAGCCATTAAGGGTATATAAAATATAAGAATCATAGAATATGAAAAAAACTAATCAAATTAATCAAAATCCTATGCCATAAACAAATTGACTCGAGATTTTATCAAGACCTTAAACACTTGAAAATGTCAGAAGCAGAACTAATAATACAAATAATCTAGACACGCGGTAGCGTGTCAAGCCAAGTTCTAGCTAACAGAACTGGCGAGCAGCACCGTGTGTAATATTACACGAACCATTTGGAGCCACTTTTGACCCCCTCATAACTCAAAAACTATTCCACATAAACATGTCAAATTTGGCTCATATATTGAGACTAACGAGATACATATGTGCTCTAAATTTCATAAACACACTTCAAACCGTTATTTAGATATTAACGTCCGAAAATCGTCATTTTTATCACTGACTTACCTATAGATCAAAATTCTAACCCAGTTCCAGATGACCTAGAAGGTTCAAATTTGGCATACAGATAGGTAGTTAGGTAAATACAAAGGAAAAAATCAGAAACTTGAAATTTTTTAATTTTAAATTTTAAATTTTAAATTTTTAAATCAATTGATTTTATTATAATTTTGCAATTATTTTATCTATTATGTTTAATTTTACAATTTATTAATGAATTGCCTCTAATTTAATGTAATGTTGACTTCAATAACCTTTCCCGTATCGCCGCTCCAAAAATACGACTAGCCGAATATGTGTCGATATTGTCAACCCGCGCGCAGCAACATACTTTTTTTTCTATCTATGCATGTAATTAATATTATTTTTTTTTAATATTACAATTAAAATAATTAAATAATTATTCTTACAAATTATGAATTATCCACCCAACAGTAGAAACTACAGTCAATAAAATTATGATAATTATAAATATACTCAAAAAGAGTTAAAATAATTGTATATTAATTTTACATATATTTTATACTCTGTATATACAACGGAAAATATTTTATAATAAATATTATTATTAATATTAGTAACTGAATTATATTATATAGTAATAAACTTTATTTATAGAATACGTCATGGCTAGGTTAGGTTAGGTTATAATAATTTACATACAAAAAGTAATGATATCCCACCAAAAATATATATGTAAAATGAGAGCCAAGTTCAATACTATAATATTGAACTTGGTTGTTGACTTCAACGACAAAAGAAGTGAGATCTAAATGGGTGCCAAGTTAGGATACCTAATATATTGAAGCCTAAGGTCTGACTTGGCTACGAATTATATATTATAGCATTTGCAAGTTCTAAAGCTTTGAGTTCTTATTTATTCTTCGGAAAATCATCTTCACTCTTTCATTACTGTTTTAGTAGGTACTTATAATAATAATTTGTATATGAAAAGTAGCCAAGTCACACCTTAGGCTTCAATATATTATCCTAACTTGGCACCCATTTAGATCTCACTTCTTTTGTCGTTGAAATCAACAACCAAGTTCAATATTATAGTATTGAACTTGGCTTTCATTTTACATATATGTTTTTGGTGGGATATATTACACGCATATAAGCCACCTCTATATTAATAAAAATATATTATGCCAAAGACCAATATGTCACAGATTATTTCTTAATTTTTATTTTTAAAAAATGTTAAAATATCGAGAAAAAAAATACAATTCAAAATATTTTACAACATTTATAAGCAATTGTTAATACTTAATACAATATGTTAGGACTTAGGTTTACTTAATTCTGAGTTTGGATGCATTCAAATGTTTTTTTAATTCATATTAGGCTAATTCACATTTAATATTTAATACAATCATTGATTAAAACGAATTAACACTATGGGTATTAAAAATTGCATAGGTACATACAATGTCATTTGTTATTAAAAACAATAGCTCCATATTATGAAAACACTTACCCAATATTGGACTATTATTTTCACCATTTTTTATAATAGGTGAATTTGGCGGTGTCTTGTTCCATTCGGAACACGGTTCACAGCCTTCAGCATTACGTGTTGGAGCTCGACAACATTGCCATTTTTTACCACCCCAGATTGATGCATGATATTTTTCACTCTTTCCCAAGGTGTCAGCACATACTTTAACAATTATATCATGTTAATTAGCATCTGAGTTGAATTATAAACATAAAATCTAATGGTTTATTAATTTATACCAGCTCTTAAAGATCTTATCCAATCAGTTCTCTCTTGGAGTTTTTGTGTGATTAAATACAATGTATATGGTTGATCATTTCCATCACTATATGATATTTGAAATGCATACCCATTTTCACCGTCATTGTTAGTAGTATCTTGAGATAAAATATTTGGCGAAGAAGTAATTGTAGCTGTTTCAATCACAGTCACCGTAGACAGTTTAATACGACCTCGTTCTTTTTTACGCTATAACCAAATTATAAAAAATATTTAAAAAACAAACATTATTTATTTAATATTTATATAATATGATATAAACAACAATTAATTTATTAATTTGAACAGAATGGATATTTTCAATATGAATTTGATTACCTAATTTGAACATTATATTAATATAAAATATCCTAATATTTTTATTACTATCAAACTAAAAAACCAGAAATTAATAAAATGTAAATTGTATTATATATTTATTTATTACATTTTTAATATCTATAATATAAGAACAATCAATATAAGTTATAACATTTCAAAATAATTACATTTTTTGAAATTGTAATGCAATTTATGGAAAATAATATAATATATTTAGTCTACATTTATGAATCAGACAATCACAGCTTTTTAAAAGTAATAAGAAATATAATCACTATTATTATTGACTTTATATAGTACATTTAGCAACATTCAACAAATGTTTTGATTTATTTTATTAAATACAAACCATGATTTTATAATAAAATTTCTGAAATAAAAACAGTTAAATAGTAAATGTTTTTATTAATTGGATGGACAGAAATTAAGATCATTATACTTATGATTTACACTATATAAATTTGTGAACTTGTTTTTATGATTTTAAACTTATTTATTTATGGGTAAGTAATAATTTTATTAATATTTTTAATTACAGCTTAAATCTTGATATTAAGGTTTAGAGAATCAACATATTATTATTCATCTTACACCTTGACCAATTAAATTTGTTCATTCAGAAAATTGTTAATAATTATAAAAATAAAATATAAACCTTCATGAAAATTGATGCCATAAGGCATAAGCCATAAAACCAACCAGATTGATGACGTTCAAGATATTATGTATACAAATAATTATAAAATATCAATAGCTTGTTCACGGAAACTATGCTCTTACAACAGAATATAGATAAACAACCAAAAAATAAATATAACCTTCCTATATCAATTTATTAACCATCCATTGAAAACATAACAATAAAAAGCCAAACAGGATACAATGACAGGGTGTTGGGCACTTGTTTTGTTTCACTCTACTCAACGCAAGATAGTGGTGCATTTTTATTATACATTTTAAAGCAAACATATAGTCATAAATTAGCAAAATAGCAAACAAGTCATAAATTATCACAATCCAAACATTTTTGAGTTGAGCCAATTTAAAACAATGCTTGAAA